GAACTGATAAGGGGATGGTAATAGTTTTTCTGTTACATGTGGCCTTAAATTCTCCTTTTATTAAAGGCTCCCATCCAGCTCAATATTGCCATTGTGTTCCAAGAATTACTAAAGATTTAGCATTTCCATCCTGATCTTTTTCTGCAGGCATAACAGAAAATTCATCTGTTATAGAAGCTGTATTTTCTCTAGAACCAATTGTTATAGGAACATTATCCATAGTACCAATAGATATAAATTGACTTGTGACTCCATTAAGCCTATGAATTTTTTTCCTATTAATTTTAATTCCTAAAAGCTCTTTGACAAGTTCAGCAATATTATCTGAAAATATAGAAGAATTAGAATTAGTATCAATTATTGCGCAAGGTATTACCAAACTTTCTATTTTACAATAAATAGTTGCAATATCGTCAGCATCCTTTATTTATATAAAATTTATCTCTAAAGGCTTAAGCCAATATATTTGTCTATTTTTTTTTTCAGCTGAACGATATTGAGCATAAGCCTTAATAGCGTGATTCAAAGTATATCCGCCTCCTGAGTAGTTATTATCTGGCAAAGATTCTATTTTCATAATAGTTTTAGAAGGAGATGGAATAGAGTCGTGAGGTGAGTTTTTCATCACATCTAAAAGGAGCTTCTGCTCAATATTTACTGCCTGTAATAGCGAAAACAAGATGTCTTGGAAATTACTTGTAATGTTCCCTTATGCTAATTTTCTTCTTTTAACTGTATCATTTGGCATAACAATATTCAAGCAATGGTCTTTTAATTTGGGGAATATCATATTAATAACTTTTGAAATTTCTATAAGAATCTCTCTAGAATAATAAGGGACTAATGATGATATTGAAGATTTTAAGACTATTTGATACATTTGATCTGTAGCCATGCAAAGTATCTCTTTGGTATTTTCAGCACAAGATTTGAAAGTAGGAAATTCCTTCTTGTGAGTCTTTTTTATAGGTATTACACTTCGTACTACTTTTTTTTTACAGCATAGCAGTTTTGGTCAGTAATGTTTAAAACAGATCCGTCATCATCAATACATTCATCATTCTTCTCAACTTCCTCCTTAACTATGTATTCTATTTCAGGCTCTTCGGCCTCCTCCTTAAATATGTATTCTATTTCAGGTTCTTCAGAGTCATCAGAGAATCCTCTTGGGATGGGATCTTTCTCAACATTTTGGTATATATAATTAATCTTTTTAGTATTCTTAACTTCAAGACAATTAATTTTTGTATGACCAGCCTTTTTACAGACTGAGCAAAAACGAACAATTCATTTAACTGGTACTTTTGTATTACCTTTCTAACAGCTTTCTTTGTAGTATTTGTATTTCTAACCTGAGGTTCTGCAAAGGGGCTCCTTCTAACATTAGTTACTTTTTGCCCTAACCTTTTACTAAGTTCATTATGGATATATGGTCTTAAGACTGAGAGATCTGTTATTACATCTAAATAATTCAAATCCTTTACTAAACGAACTATAAATTCATGTTTAGCTTATGATTCTTTTTGTAGAGATGAATGTGATAAAGTTTCTTCACTGAAGAAGGAAATGCCTATATGTCCACTAGTTTCTAACCATTTATCATTAAGTTGGGTAAAAAAGGCATTAAGATCTGCTGGATTTCTAATTTTAATCTGTAATTCCAAATTTTCAGGTAAATGGCTATAAAGAATAGGTAAAACATCTGCAAATGGTAAAACATCTACATGTGATCTAATCTGTTTTTCATATGTTTCTGAAGTATCAATAGAAAGAAATTTATCAGATATAAGTGCTTTCATAGAAGCCTATGCTGAACCTAGTTTTATTGCACAATATGTTTCTCAAAACCATGCTATAAATAATGCTGGAGTATTGATCGCATTTTCTGCATTATTATTAAATGGATTAGGAGGAGTAAACTTTTCTGCCATTTTTCCTGCTAATACATTAGTTTTCACAGCATCATTAAAGGCTGCCACTCCTAATGAATTGTCATAATTAATTGTCTGCATAACCTTATTATAATAGTCATCTGGTAACTCTTGGCTAATATATTGCAGTATTTGAGCTAAAAGTGGAGCCATTGCATTTAAAACTTCTGGTAAGGTAGTCATATTTCCAAGTGGATTGTTTTGTAAATTCAAATAGTTGTCTGTGAATTTATTTTTTTTTGCTTTCATTTTTCATATTGATCATATACTCGATCCTGATTATATTCTAATAATCCTATATCATTTCTACTTTGTCAATAATATCTTTTTAAATTCTGAGCCTGTTAAGTACATGCAGTGTATCTTCTTTTTCACCAATATTTTTCATAAACATTTTCACATACCATATCTCTAAGATTATTGATTTCATCATCTCTTTGTTGTTAGGCTTGTTTTTCATCCCTTCATACTTGCTTCATCATCTGTACACTTCAAAGACAATCATTTCTAAAATTTACCATATCATTCATAATCCTATTGATCTGCCTATAGGATGCATTAAGTAGACCTTGTAAGTTCGCATTTTTCTGAATATACCTTTGATTATGCTTTCGAATAGTTATTATTGAGATCCGTATTCCATTCAATGTATTTCTTAGGTCAAATAATGTGTCGCCATTGATATATCCTTCAATCTGATCTAAAGCTATACTAATATTTCTTAAGATATCTGGTAGTGTCATATTTTCTTGATGTTTTTCTTTAGAAGGTTTATTACTCTTATTTACTTTTTTTTTACTAGACTTGAAAAAAAGCTATTACAATCAGTTTCTTGTAATAAAAGATCAGCCGAAAAATTTTGAGTTAATTGTTTCTTCTGATGGTCTTGACCAAAAGAATGCAATATCTTAAAAATTTGACTTTTGAGCTTTTCTACTGTATCTTCTAGTAGAATAATTCAGTTATTTTGAATGACTAATGTCTTCTCCTTTAGATCTAAATAATCCTGACATTTTTTGAGATTATGTAGGGTAGAGCAGTATTCTGCTTTTATTCTATCTAACTCATCCTCTCGTAAAATAAGATTTTTTTCAAGATATTTGATATATAACTCACATCGCTCTAGATCGTTTATGAGCTTACAAATCTTTTTCTTATTTTTAATTATAATAGTTTCCTCTTTAGTTAACTTTATTCGTAATTCTAAATTGCTATTTAATAAATCGATATATGCCTGCTCAGCTCTCATTGATTTCTATTATTTCAATAGATTCTGGCGAGGCTCAAAATGTAGATGTATCTTCAGCTTTATGCAAAATTTATTATTAACCTTTGGGCTATTAGAGGACTACAAAAAAATTACACAAAGCCTCTAAAAAGGTTGAGTATGATTTTACTATAGATGAGATGTGTGACTGGCTTGAAAGACAGGCTATTTACTAAATTCATATGCCTCATCCTAGATTTATTCAGTATGCTTCCTTTAATAATATACAATTTTTAAATGAAGTATACCAATCTGATACTACCCCTATGTCTTATAATAAAGTAGGTAATCAGATTTACAAGTATAGGGGCATTATTAAAGATGTTGCAACTAGGTATCGTTGTAGTTTTGCATTGACTGATAAATCTTTTGCACAAATGGTTAAGAATATTCAAAAAATTTATGATGATCTTAAGAAGCCTCTTAATCTGCTTGAAGGTTTTATTGTAGATAGAGATACTGAATATATAGGCGAATATAAAGATTTATTACTTAGTTATAATGTAAGAATTCAGTATGTTAACTCTAAACGTGATGTAGCTATTACTGAACGTAACCACCAAGAATTTAAAAAACATGCTTATTTTCGGCAAGATGCTGAAGATTCTCATTTGCCTTTGACTGATAGATCCAGAGCATGGGTTAAGGGACTTTATATAAATGATGATATTTTCAATAATTCTCCTACACAGTTAATAGCTATGTCTCCTAACGAGGCTGTAAAAAAGGCATTAAAAAGTAAAAAAATAATAGCTAGACCTTCTGTTAAACATAGAAGACCAGTTGGTTATAATGAATCCCTTTTACCTAGTTATACTGAAGTTTGTCACCTTTTAGAATCTGGCGAATTAGAAGGTGATAGAAGAAGAGCAACTGATTGCAATTGGTCTCCCGAAGTTTTTACAATTGATTCTTATTTGATAAAAGAAAACTAACCTGTTCTATATAAGTTTTACAATAGTCCTAGATGCTCATTTGTAAGAGAAGAACTTCAAATTGTAAAAGATGCACAATTACTCCCTCAATGGATACTTAAGCATTAGATTTACCTCCTCTTTCTTCTACTAGATATATTATTTGTTCGAAAGCATTGCTTAAATAATTATCAATTTCAGCTTGATTGTATACTATAATTTGTTTATTTCGTAACTAATCACTTCTTGTACTTTTTTTATTTTCATTTCCAGGCTTATCATCTATGAGAAATTTACCTAATGAACATAAAGCAAACTTGAATTGTCCACGCTTATCAAATTCTTTTTCAAGTAATTCTCTAAATTGCTTTCTTTGACTTTCTAAAAATTTTCATATATCACTTCCATTATCAGGATGAGATTTAAGAACTTTTACATGATACACTACTATAACTCTTCTTTTAACTGCTATTCCTAATTCTTCTTGTTCCCTAAATTCTAAATCCTTTTCTAACATTTCGTACCCCTTAATTTCTCCTAAGTACTCAAATTCTTTATTGATAAATTTTTTAGATTTATTACCTTTCTTAAATGATTGTGTTTTATGTCTAAGACTGCCTTTAGACTCTAACTCTTTTAATATCGGTAGACGAACTGCCTCTGGATCATTTAGTTCAAGATCATGGAAAAGGGTCTTACAACTATCTAGATTATTTGCCTCATATGGCTCAATACCCAGATCTAATTTTTCCAACGTTTTTGCAGTCTTACTCCTCATGTCTTAATTCGCTCTTTGGGTTTACGTGCATTTAGACTGACCCAGTTTTTTGCCTCCTCTTCAGTAATATAGTCTCGTCCGTGAATTAGTTCTGACTTAAAAGTAGGATCTTAAGCAGTCATTTCTAGTTTAAGAGTTTGAATAGGCTCTCGAATGGGATGTTGCATAAATTCTTGAATGGGTATTATAATTGGCACTTTAGTAAAAGCTACATTTCCACTTTTTAGAGGTTGTTTACTTGGATTTTTTTGCTTAAGATGCTCACGAAGTTTTTAGGGTGTTGAGTATTCATGACCACACCGTTTACAAATTGTATCTTTTTTATCAGTTCTTATTTTTCTAATCATGGTGTTAACTCCAACCGTCATGCTATTACTTGCTTATATAATTTTTTCTTTAATTATTTATTTCTTATGTACCTATCACTTTTCGATCATAGAATCCTTACTGAAGATTAGTATTTACAAACTTTCTGTAGAGGTTCTAGCTATTGCAAAACTGAAGCATTAACTAATTATTAATTAATCTTTTCGAATCTATGGTGCAAACAGCTTAGTCATATCAAATAAATAAGCTACCGCTAAAATTTATACTGATCATTAATATATCTAAATTGCAATTTTATTGGTCAAATTCTAATACGTGATTACACGTAATTAATCATAGTCACGTGATAGTCATTAATGTCACAACATTTCATGTTAACATTTTTTTTTCTTATTCCAATTTAACAGAATTATAATGCCAAAACCAAATAAATGCACCAGACAGTCTCGGGATGCTATCAATAAACGTTAGAAGCAAGCAATAAGTTCTGAAGAGATAGTATTTGAGATATCAGATGCCGAACCTGATAAGTTTGATGAATCATGGTTTGACATTTTTTGGATAGAAGGTGAAGAAACCCGCTTTGATAGTGACGACGTTATGGATGAAATGCAAGTATCGAAACCAAATATGCTAGAACAATTAGTTGAAAATGCAAAAATGTCAAATGTATGGGCTGTAAATTCACGTAGGCCAGTATACAATAGTGCTGCACAATCAACATTGCGTAACAAAAAGGCATATTGGCGAAAAGTAGCTTCAGGTTCTAAGAAGATCACAGAAATGTTTCCAACGAATGAAGCTGCTGAGCCTAATACAGACCTCACGTTTGAGAATATGTACGACAGCAGCAATAATGATGATAACGAATTCACTTTAGAATTTCTGGATTCAATATTAAAAAAAAGGAAAGATGATTTGTAGCTTCAGATGGTAAGTCAATTTCTCCATCTAGTTCAGGACCAAGGATTTACCAAGATGGATGCAAGTAATCTTTTTGCCTAGAGTTTGAACAAAAGTTTATGGCAAGCATGGCTTATCCACTCCTGGGTGAACTAAGGGTGCAGACTTGATGACCGTAACGTAGACACAAATTGCGTCACGTCAATGACTTATTCATGACGTAGACTGAAGTCTATTTGACGTCTAAACGTATGATGCAGTCGTTGACTTAAGTCACTTAGACGTAGCTGTGACTTAAGTCATTTTAGACGCGAATGTAACTTAAATCGTCAAACTCTGAGACATGTGATTTTTAATTTTGCAAAAACCTTATTTTTATTATTTTTTAATTAGCATAATGGAGGGTGACCTAAATATATGGATTTACATAATGCCGATACTTCAAACACCATTAAAAAAATGATTTTTATTATTATTAATACAATAAGACCTTTTAACATTATGACTATAATGCAAATAAGCAATTTCTTTAATTAGTGATGGGAAGATCAGAGATCGCTAAATTAAAGATAAGTAAAATTGGTAATATGTCTACCAATAACTATGGAACCAAATATACTGAATGAGATTATCAAAATTGCATTCTTACTTATGGGAATGAGACTCCAGCTAAAAGGTAATATCTAATGGATAAAGAATTCAATTTCATCTATACAAGACGGATGAAGAAGTAGGTTAGTAATTATATCTGCTTTATTAACTAAATCTAAAGCAAATAGCTAAAACTAACATTTTTTTTACCTTCTACTTGAGAATTTTCCATATCTTCGATTTTGATCATCACAGAAATCGATTTCATCATACAAGACGAATAAGAATAAGTAAGTTAGTAATCATGTCTGCTTTATTAAATAAATCTGAAGCAAATAGCTAATAATAACATTTTTTTACCTTCTACTTGAGAACTTTCCGTATCTTCGATTTTAATCATCACAGAGTAAAGTCAAAATTGATTTCATCCATACAAGACAGATAAGAAGTAGTAGGTTAGTAATCACATCTGCTTTATTAACTGAATCTGAAGCAAATAACTAATATTAACATTTTTTTTACCTTTTACTCAAAATTTTTCATATTTTCAACTTTGATCATCACAGATTTCCTAAAGCTAAGCTGAAGAATTAAGAATTCAATCTCATTCATATGAGACGGATAAGAAGTAGTAAGTTAATAATTTTGATTAACTGAATCCGAAAATAATAAAATAATACTAACTTACCTTTTTTTTCAGCAATATAGATATAGTATCTTTTTAATTGGTGATGATCAAGTCTTTTCATGATTTCAGAAATTTCTTAATTCAATTATCATTATCATAAATTCGCAATTCTATTGAACAAGACAAGATTTATGAACTCTCCTGTATAGAAATCATTTTTAGAATCGTAAACATCCCTACAAATAAGGTAAAATCATTAGTCAATCTTTTCACTCATATTAAAATAAATTACTAATCAAATGGATACTTATATTTTTCATCAAAATCTTTGAACGAGGATAAAAGCCGCAAATATAATATCTTCAATAACATCGTGTTTATTTGATTAATTAATCTTGGATGTCAGATACTGAAGAAATTTGATTAATCTCCATCTTGCATTGCTGAAATTAGTTAACACATAGTTATAGTTATCGTAAAATAAATTATTTTTGTTATTTTTGAATGCCTATATCAAACTTTTTTTATTATTTCAAAAAAAAATGATAGAAATTAGCTAGCCAGAAAGAGTGCTACCAAACCTATTTTACCGAAAATAAAGCAAACTAGTTAACAGCCCATCACATTAATATTAACGTTAACTAGAAAAATCGTAATTAATTATATAAAAATACCAGCCACAACTGATACAAATGAATACATTAATAAACTAAATAAAATGAAATGAAAAAAAAGAAAAAAAAAAAATTTAAAAAAAAGAAAAACAAAATCCTTATCCTTCTCTTTCTTAAATTTATATAATGTCCAAAATTTGATCAACTAAAGAAGTAGGATCAAAATCCATATTTCCGACTTCTCTTTCACCTACATTATTTCCATCTACATAAACATCGCTCTCTATATTATTATTAAAGAATGGTTGTAATGGTTGTGTAAAATCAACAATTTCTTCCAATATTAAAGTAGTATTTTGTTTTTCTAATATCAAATCATCGGCATCATCATATTCGTCTTGTTTGTCTTCATCCAATATCATAACTTCACCAACTGTAGAAATATTTACAACTTCTCTTAATTCTGCTTCATTTAATTCCTTTCCATAAAAAGATAACTCATTCTTAATATTTGTTAAATAATAAGAACGTATTTTTGCCATACTTTCAAGCTTTTTAACACCAAGTCTTGTACGCCTATCTCCAATCATCCATTTAAGTATAGAGAAATTTTGTTCGCTACTTGCTTGTGAAGGAGCAATAGCAAATAGTCGAAGTGCAAGTTTTTGTAAATGATATGGTTGATTTTTTATAGAACCCCACTAAATCTCAGGTATATCCATCCCTTGTACATAAGGTAGATCATAAGGTTTTAACTTTGCATCGAAATGTCAGAATTGAGTAATAAGTTCTTTACAATCCTATTCAGAATAACCTAAATTTTGCCAAAGAGTTGAAGCAGCAATTGCAGCCTCTTTGAATGCTTCATTACGAAGTCCCATACCTATAAAAAAATTAATTAATATATTTTTAATATATTTTTAAAAAGAGATAAAATACTATACCTCGATAATAAGGATGAAGATAATAATATAAAAGATAAGCAGGATGTTGAAATTCAAGATAACGATAATTAAATATTTGAATGGCATTTGTTTTATAAGGATTTGAAGAAGGAAGTTGAAATATAGAAACCGCTAATTTAATCATCTGTATGAAGTAATCAGCTAAAGAAGCTGACCTTGCTTCAAGAATATTAATACATTCTTGTATGGAAGCCCAAATTGAACGAATCTGATAACAACTTGTAAAAAATTTCTCATTTTGCATTAAGTTATATACATCAGAATTTGTAATAATATTTCTATGTTCTAATAAAATCTATTAAAAATTTCTTTACATTAATTTTTTTAATAAAATAATAACAAATATAAAAAATAAAAAAATTTTTTCTTACCCAATCAAAAACTGGACGAGCACGTAAAATTGAATCTGTTGTCATATATAATGAACTCCACCTAGTTTTATACCATGTTTGTAATCCTTCAAGATTTATTTTCATATTTGTAAAACTTTATCGTAAAATTGTACTGCTATGACATGAATTTTTAAAATATTTTGTAATTTTTTCACAATTTAAAATTATCTTCTTTATATCATCAAGTTTTACCAAATCAGCCGATATTAAATTAATAGTATGGGCTGCACATCTTAAATCCCATATATGACCAAATTTTTTTTCGATTTTTTTTCTAGCAACTCGACAATTATAAGCATTATCGGTAATAATAGCTGCGAATTTATTTACACCAATTTTTTTCACCACATTTGTTATTTCTGAAGCAAGAAATTCACCTGTATGTGAATCTGTAGAATAATTATGCAAAACAACCAAATATTCCTTTCTATCAGACGTTATTATAATATAATTATAAAGTGATTCTTGCCGTTTAGATGTCCATCCATCTAACGCTAATTATAAAAAAGTTCATAATTATTAATTTTAATTTATATAAATATAAAAAAAAAATATATAATATTTATTAACTTACTTAAAGTTAAATTCTCTATATTTTCTAATTCAGAATTGACATTTTTATTAATACGTGCAAGCTCTTCATCTAAAAGTCGACCAGATAAAGTAAATTGAGATGGTAGTATATATCCTGGATTTAAGTCTTTAATTAAATCCATAATAAATGGATTTTCAATAACTTCAAAAGGAATCCCTGCTATTACCCATACTTTTAATAATGAACGATCAATACGACTATTTACTTGAGAAGGAAGTGGTATATCTGAACCAAATGTTGTGTTGTTTTTGCAATGATTGTGTAGATAGTGGTTTTTGTAAATTTTGAGTATAATTAATTTTATTTTCACTAAGTTTATCACGCCAATAATTACTAATTTCTTTAGGACATGATGTATACTCATTGGCTAAATGAGCTTTTAAAACTCCTGGTTGTTCTCTTGACCAATTTTTTTGACAATAATAACATGAAACTCTATAATGACCTTTATTTATTTCTTCTCCTTGTATAAAATACTGCCATACTTCGTCAAATTTTGTACCCTTATTAGTTTTTTTACTTGAAGGAGGAAGAGGAGTTTCAGAAGTTCTTTCTGGTTTCTCATTATTATGCTTTTGTAATGTATTAGTTTCACCACTTTCCATGGTAGATGATACTGTATAATATTTTAAAATAATACATTGTATTATTTTTATATTATTATTTTTAGTGTAACATTATACAGCACGCGTCATATATTATAGCATGTATCATATACTATGGTACGCATCACATATTATAGTACGCGTCACATACTACGTCATTTGTCAAGCACTACGGCTTATGACATTGACATAAAATTTTATAATATAAGACGTAATGACGTAACTTTATATTGAGTAGAAGTCTGCATCCTTAGGGCGAACCAATGGCTTAACAATGGTATGATTGTTACGTCTAAACATAGTCATCATGCAAAAATCAGGTCTCTTCTTCTTTATGAAGACATCAAGTTGCAAGTTACTGAATATTTAAGCGCATATAAGTTCAAGTTGAATGTTGCCAATTTCATAAAATTTATTGAGAATGAGATTATTTCTACCCTTGGAATAGAAGAAAAGATAAGTATCTTATGCTCAACTGCGTGTGAATAGCTATATATGCTCGGCTGGAAATATAAAAACCATTCAAAAAATATTTATTTTGATGGTCATGAGCGTGAAGATGTAGTGGCAGATAGACAACGATTTTTGCAGAAATGGGTAGAATTGCGAAAACAAATGGCCACTTATGAAGGCGAAAATTTAGATAAAACCATCTTACCTGTACTTCCCTATAGTATTCCTGAGATCGTTCCTATCACTCATGATGAGTCGATATTTTATGCCAATGATGATATCATCAAGGCTTGGAGTCCAGCAGATGAGAGTCAACTTCGTCGCAAATTGCAAGGTCTTAGCATTTATATAAGTGACTTTCTCTGCGAATCTATCAGATGACTTCAGCTCTCAAAAGAGGAATGCGCTATTAATGATTCACTTCCAGATGGTAAGCAACTTGTCTATACTGAAGCTTGCGTTACAATGTATTCTGGTACAAATCGTGATGGCTGGTAGACAAATAAAGATGTTGTTAAACAGGTAAAAGAACGAGCAATCCTAATATTTGAACGTACTCGGGAAAAGTCACACTGTTTATGTTCAATAACAGTTGCAACCACAATGCATTTGCTGATGATGCATTGGTGGTTTCAAGAATGAATATAAAGGATGGAGAAAAACAACTACTCCTCCGCAATGGTAAAATGCCGGATGGTTCGTCTTATATCATGACATTTACAGATGTCGATAGTACAGTAAAGCCTAAAGGTATCTGACGAGTTCTTGAGAAGCGTGATTTATGGATACCAAGCTTGAAAAGAAAGTGCAATACGTGTACACAATATAACTCCGATCCAATTAAACTAGACTGTTGTACAACACGCATTCTTTCCACCCAACCTGATTTTGCATCATAAAGAATACATATATAAGAAGTAAGTTGCAATTAATTAATTATTTCAGTATTCCAACATAACATTTAACTAAAAAATAAATACTTATTTTTTTAGGTTATTGGGGCAGCAGGATATATGTGCATGTTTTATCTGAAGTTCTATTGCGAGCTTAATTATATTGAGTTCTTTTGGGCAGAGGCAAAGTGGTATTCACGTCTTCACTGCAATTATTCATTCAATGACCTTAAGGAAGTTATACCGCGCGCATTAGATTCAATTAGCCTAATAAAAATCTGCCAGTTTTCACATCATTCTGCGCGTTATATAAGTGTTTATGAGCTAGGACTTTCAGGTAAGGTGGCTGTCTTTGCAGTTAAGCGATATTGTTCTCATCGTCAGGTTCCTGCAAACGTTTTGAAAGAATTCAGAGATCTGTAAAATTTTGGAATTGTGGTTAGCTAATCATACACAGCTATGTGACTTTATATGCACTAATCATGCATTTTCACATGATACCGGTGGCGCTAAAAATCCTGCTATTGCTATTAAAATTAACGGTAAAAAAATCTAACTACAAAAAATTTTTATAATAAAATGAATTAAAAAAAATATGTAGTTTTACAGACCATATCAAAAGCTATTAAACAACGTATTTTTTTTTTAATGTTATATGATTAAATAAATTCCTTTACATTTTAAAATCCTTAATAATTATTGGATGCGACTAAGCTGTTTGCACCATAGTAATAAAAAGTAGAATGATTGGTAATATTCTTGCCCATTTCTCTGCAATACTAGAAAGACTTGTGAAAATGGTAGTACTAGGCCTAAAGGATATCATTTTCATTGAAAAGCTAAGAAACAAATACTATGCTCTGATTGTGAGAAACCTACAGCCTCTGCTTATGGACGATGTCCACTACATGTTAGAGGTTATTATGTTACCTAACACTATAATAGACTTTGACAAGAAAGAACTTATGTTAGTCAATCCTATACTAGCCTATGCTAAACCCATTCTTGATTAAGGAAAGTTAGGACAAAATTTTCGTTAGACTTATTTTTCATTAAACTTAAAAACTAATATCGATTTTACATCTCTCACAGACACACAATGTTATAAATCATAAGAAAAAGTTAGGATAAAATTCTCATTAGATTTATTTAAAGATTATGCAATTTAATGAGCTAGCTTGTATAGAAGCCATTTTTGTCTATAGTAAATTCGTTAGATTTAAAAGGTTACATGATTTTTTCAATATGCTAATTAATGTGCAAACCCTTGTAGAAGCAATTTTTGATTAAATAAAAGTTAGGACAAAAACTGTTAGACTTATTTTGGTTAGACTTAATTTTTCGTTAGACTTATTTATGAGGTAATAAGGACCATTAGATTTATTTTCGTTAGATTTAAATAATTAATATGCAATTTAATAAAAAAAATCACGCAGAATCAATTCCTGATTTACATTATTTAGTTAAACTTAATAAATATAACCGAAAAATGATATAGAAATTAAGATTCTAGAGCTTTTAGAAGCCTTTCTAATATAATAAAAATCGTAAAAAAATTGATATTGATTTTATATCTCCTACAGACACACAATATCATTCTGAGGGTATGGACATTCTGTTCTTAAATCCTCAGAATGATATTGTGTGTTTAATTTTGAGAATGAATTTTATAGAATACGTACAAACCATATATATTAAAGATCATGAACTTATAGAATATGATGAATCTGTGTGATTATGCAAATAACCATATTATACAGAACTGATTGAGTTCAGACCTTGTATTAAAAGTTAGCTTGTAATAGGTAAGTGTCATATTAATTATAAGAAAATCAATTATCTCTGATAATAGAATATGACAGATCAATGATAGACATTATATAACTTAGATTGAACAAGAGTCGTAGGTTACAGGTGATTTCTAATTAAAATGCTGTAGTGTTTATGAGTTGATTAGGGTTTGAGAGACCTGAGTTTTATTTTTAGGATAATTTTAACAGTCTAGGCATATTAACTATATCAGACAGCTATTCTAAATTAGTTTAGTAAAGATCCTTTTTTCAGTAATTGGTCAAAATTCATCATACTGACAGCATCAGAAATTAGCTATGAGGCGTTCAAGGTGTATAGTTTGTTGCGATGCCTAGTATTTTGGCAGTTTAGACTAGCTTTAAATGTAGTCAGAAGGGACTTATTTCTGGATACAATGATATTAGATATACAAGCTGCAGTCAGGATATTCAGGCGATCAATCACTAAAACTTAAGTAAAAAAAATTACTTTAAAATCATGTAATACTTATTTTTAAAAGAATATAATATAAATAAAATATTAAATAATATACAAAAGATTATTTAATTTATCAAATTAATATAAAATTTTTTATTTATAATATTACTAAATTTATATATAACTTTTAAAATTTAAAAAAATATTATAAAAAATATATATAAAATAATTATAGAAAATTAAATTTTTAATTAAAATTAAAAGTTTAATTAAAACTAAAATATAATAAAATTTTAATTTTGTAAAAAAATTTTAGAATTTATTTTCTTAGCAATTAATCTATATATTCTATATATATATCAATAATACAATATATTAATTCTAAGATATTTTATTTTTATATTAAGTTTTTATATATTATTTTACTATAATAGATTTTTTTTAAAAAATTTATAATCTTAGAAATTATTTTTTATTTTAAAGTAATATCTATAATTTATAATTAAAAAATCAAAAAATATGTTAATAATAAACTTAAATACAATTTATTTAATATATTATATAAGATTATAATTAATTTTAGATAAAAATATAAAGAAAAACAAAGAAATTTATTTTTAATTCTTTATTTTAAAATAAAATTTTTTCTATAAAAATATTATTTTATAAAAAAATATCTAATAATTTTAAAAATTTAAAAATTTCTAATAATAAGAAATTTAATTGTTTATATTTTATTAAAAATTGTTATAATAAATTTAATAAAAGAAAATAAATTTTGAGATTAATAAATTTATAAAATTAATAATTTGAGATTAGTATTTAGAATTTAGTATTTAAAATTTAATCTTAAATTCTAAAAATAAAGATTCTAGAATTTTTAAATAAGTTATGATATATTTTTAATAAATATTTTTAGTAATTATTATCATTAAAAGTAAACTATAATTTAGTAAAATAAAAATTTTTTTAGAATTAGCAAATTTATTGGAAATTTAGAATTACTTAAAATTGCTTAATATCTTTACTTATAAATAATATTTTTGTAATTCTTTTTAATTAAAATTGTAATAAAAAAATAAATATATTACTAAAATGAAATTAATTTTATTATTTTTTTTTTATAAAAATGCTTTAAAGTAACAAAATAAAATTTACTTGATATATTAAATATAATTTTTAATTCTTTTTTTCACATATACTTAATAATTTTTATTATTTTAAATTTAATAATTAAAATTATTTTTTTTATTCTAAAATAAAATAATCTTTAAATAGAGTTTACTATACATATTTTCTTTAAGATATTAATAACATAATAACGATAGAGAAAAAAAATTTATTGATAAATTATTATGACGTAAATACATTTTACTGCGGTAAAATCGAAAGGAATATTCGCGAATATCAAAAAAAAAAATTAAGAAATTCTATTTTTTTCTTTGCTTATAATTGTGTATCGCTTTTTGGAAAAATAAAGTTACCCCCTGAAATTTGAAGAAACTAGAACTCTACAAAGTTGGAAGTTATACGATCGGATGATTGTGGCTTGGCCTGTGATTTTTCGAGTTGATGGAATTTCAACTGAGTTGGTTGGACACATTATTACATCTTCCGAAGTTAAAATAAGGTCTCAATTCAACCTTTTTTTTTTTTTTCTCGCAAAACATTTT